AAAAAAAAAAAAAAAAAAAAAAAAAAAGAAAGGACAATATAAGCCTTGAGGTGGAGAATGTGAAGAACTTGGTCACTGTTATTTTCCGTGGGCTGAGAACACATGTGGGAGACGGAAAAGGCTTTGGGGCTGTTTTCAGATCCACCGGTTGACATAAATACATCCACTTATAGTTGACCTTTGAACAAGGTAGAGGTTAGAGGTACCACCCTCCACCCCACACAGTTGAAAATTCACAGGTAACTTTCCACTTCCCCAGACTTAATTACTGGCCGGGTATGGTGGCTCACGCCTGTAATCCCAGCACTTTGGGAGGCTAAGGTGGGTGGATGACTTGAGCTCACAAATTCAAGGCTACCCTGGGCAACATGGTGGGACCGTGTGTCTATTCAAAATACAAAAAAGGCCACATGCAGTGGTGCACGCCTGTAATCCCAGCACTTTGGGAGTCCGAGACGGGCAGATCATGAGGTCAAGTGTTCAAGACCAACCTGACCCACATGGAGAAACCCCATCTCTACTAAAAATACAAAAATTAGCTGGGCATGATGGCAAGCACCTGTAATCCTAGCTACTCAAGAGGCTGAGGCAGGAGAATTGCCTGAACTGGGAGGCGGAGGTTGCAGTGAGCCAAGATTGCGCCAGGGCAGTCCAGCCTGGGAGACAGAGTAAGACTCCATCTCAAAAAAAAGAAAGAAAAAGAGAGGCCAGGTGCAGTGGCTCACGCTTGTAATTCTAGCACTTGGGGAGGCTGAGGTGGGTGGATCACCTAAGGTCAGGAGTTCAAGACCAGCCTGGCCATCATGGTGAAACCCATCTTTAAAAAATAATAATAATAAAAATTTTTAAAAAAAGAGAAAGAAAAGAAAAAATATCTAGGCATGATGGTACACACCTGTAGTCCCAGCTACTTGGGAAGCTAAGGATGGCTCGAGCCCAGGAGGCACAGGTTATAGTGAGCTGAGATCACACCACTGCACTTGGCCTGAACAATAGAGCCACAACTTGTCTGAAAACTAAAACAAACCAAAAATCAAACTTAATTACTAATAGCCTATTGTTGCCTGGAAGCCTTACTAATAACATAAACAGTCTATGACTATCATTTAGGGCCATTATGGGGAAACCCTGTCTCTACTAAAAATACAAAATTAGCTGTGCGTGGTTGTGCATGCCTGTAATCTTAGCTACTCGGGAGGCTGAGGCAGGAGAATCACTTGAACCTGGGAAACGGAGGCTGCAGTGAGCTGAGATCGAGCCGCTGCACTCCAGCCTGGGTGCACAGTGAAACTCTGTCTTAAAAAGCAAAAACAGGTCAGGCATGGAGGCTTACACCTGTAATCCACCAAAGTGCTGTAAAGCACTTTGGGAGGCCAAGGCGGGTGGATTGCAAGGTCAGGAGTTCGAGACCAGCCTAGCCAACATGATGAAACCCCTGCCTCTACCAAAAATACAAAAATTAGCCAGGCGTGGTGGCACACACCTGTAATCCTGGCTGCTTGGGAGGCTGAGACAGGAGAATCGTTTGAGGTTAAAGTGAGCCAAGATTGCGCCACTGCACTCCAGCCTGGGCAACAGAGGGAGACTCCATCTCAAAAAAAACAAAAACAAAAAAACAAACAAAAAAATTAGCCAGGCCTAGTGGCGTGTGCCTGTAACCCCAGCTACTTCTAGACTGAGGTGGGAGGATACCTTGAACCCAGGAGCTTGAGACTGCAGAGAGTTATAATTGCAACACTGCACTCCAGCCTGGGGGACAGAACAAGACCTTGTCTTAAAGAAAAAAAAAACATGGCCTGGGCACAGCGGCTCATATCTGTAATGGCAGCACTTTGGGAGGCCAAGGCAGGCAGATCACTTGAGGTCAGGAGTTCGAGACCAGCCTTACCAACATGGAGAAACCCCGTTTCTATTAAAAATACAAAATTAGCCAGGTGTGGTGGCGCATGCCTGTAATCCCAGCTACTCGGGAGGCTGAGGCAGGAGAATCCCTTGAACCTGGGAGGCGGAGGTTGCAGTAAGCCAAGATTGGGCCGTTGCACTCCAGCCCGGGCAACAAGAGCGAGACCCAATCTCAAAAATAAATAAATAAATAAAGAAGCAGGGTCAGGCACGTTGTGCAGTGGTGAAACTTCTACCTCCCAGCTTTCAGTGATTCTCCTGGATCAGCCTCCTGAGTAGCTGGAACTACAGGTGCATACCACCACGTCCAGCTAATTTTTAGTAGGGATGGGGTTTCACCATGTTAGCCAGGCTGGTCTTGAACTCCTAGCCTCAAGTGATCCGCCTACCTCGGCCTCACAAAGTGCTGGAATTACAGGCGTGAGCCACCACGCCCGGCCTAATTTTGGTATTTTTTTAGGAGAAATGGGGCTTCACCATGTTGGCCAGGCTGGTCTTGAACTCCTGGCCTCAAGTGATCCATCTGCCTCGTCCTCCCAAAGTGCTAGGATTACAGGCATGAGCCACCATGTCTGGCGTGTATCCACTTTTTGGCTGTCAGGAGCAGCCCCAAATGAACTGTCACGTCCAGACGTCCAGGTTTTTGTACGGATATGTTTTCATTTCTTGAATAATGTTCAGGAGTGTATTTGTTGGCATCTTCCTTTCATTCATTCATTCATTTTTTTTTAAAATAGGAGATCGGTAATTTGGTTTTTGCATATTTTCGAGGAGATCAGATATCTCAGACCTATATATATTATTCGAATAATGGGGGATTCATTTTTTGGAAGTATCACTATGACAGACAGGTATGTGAAATTTGGTAAGAATGTGAAAATAAAAATATATGTACCCCCCGGGCACAGTGGCTCATGCCTGTAATCCCAGCACTTCGGGAGGCTGAGGTGGGCAGATCACCCAAGGTCAGGAGTTCCAGACCA